AGGCGCTATTTCTCAAGGTCGCCCTGGCAACAAGACGAAGTTGCGAAAACGAGGTCAACCCATTTATAAGCGGTTAGCTATAAAAATAGAATCATCTGCTTCGTGATATCAGGTGGAGCAGCAGGAAGTCGTATGTGTTCCACATTTAGTTCCTAATTAGTAAATTTGCCCATCCATAGTCAACAATTCTGAGCAAGCTTCCATCGATATCAAAGCTAAGACGATGCATCAAATCTATAAGAGAAGACTCTTAAAGAAAGGCAAACAATTAATTAGATGATCTCAAAGCTAACCAAGATTAAGATAAAGTAGTCTTGACTATTAAGAAACTTTGCGGGTAGAAGGTGCAGAATTAACTGTCGTCTAAGAATAGCCAAACTCAGTAGGATAAGCTTAGCAGCCTTAGTCCAAATATATGTTTAATCGGATAAATCACGATGTTATAATAAAACCTTACTTAAACATCTTAGCGAAATCGTATTTTACATTTTTCTTTGCTAGCATAAATATTGGTCTCTGCAACACCATTCTAGCATGCAAGATATTCCTGGATAACCTCTCAATGTATCGAAAACCTCAAAAATAATTAAGCCAAATACCGTCTCTCATGTTTTGGGCTTGATTCACTCCACAGTTAAATTAAGACAAAGCTAAGATATCACCGCGAGCATATGGGTTTTTCAATAAAGTATACTAAATACCAAGATATTGTTGATGGATATATATAGAAAAGATTTAAAACAATATTGCTATGCATTAACAAAATATTTTTGGATTTGGTCACATAAGGTCTCCTAGGGATAACTTTCCTTTAGTGTCTTATATTGATATCAGGTTTAGGTTTATTGACGTCCAAAAACATCCTTAAATGCCAGTGAAGCTGAACTTCGCTTTGATATGCCACATGACAGCAATCTTTTGAACCAGCCCTGAATTCTTCAAAATGTTCAGAATCACTATAAAAATTCAATAACTTTGATACAAGCCACACTTGTATCTCCCCTACTCCTTTTTTGTCGTGGTGTCGTATCACTGTTACCAAGTTGTGATTATTTGGCAGACCACTTTCACGGAAACCAAAATAATGTTTTGTGGTCTGCATCATTTAATCGGTCCATAAATTGCTTTATAATACACTTTTGGGCGAAATGCATCAATGCGACTATTCAGTTAAAGTAGGCTTCAAAAGGATCAGTAATTCTTTAATGAGGGTTCCAGTTGCCTTGGGTCGCATTAAGTTATTAAGGATTAGTGGCTTTATGTCCTCACAACGATATGGGCAGGCCCAACGCCTCAAATATATTTGCCTTACTTTGCTGGAAGGTAGCCTAGTCTATCATGTACTGCAGTCCCATCAGCGCCCCGCGGGAATCGAGCAAAGGTAATGCACAATCTCGACATGCTAAATTGCCTCTAGTTCTTCTGGGTTACAGAACGGACATGAATTTCGAGAAAGGTTAGGCCTCTGCTATAACACATCTATACTGGGATTAACGATTACGCAAACTTGTGTTTTACTATTACAATCGACCACGTAGCTTCTCATATCAATCGAAATGTTTGAGTTTTAAAACCCAGAAGATTTTTAAAGAATCATGGCTGGCTCTAAAGATGACTGTCACGTGGC